CCTCTTCCCGGCCCTAATCCCAGTAGGCCGCACTTGGTTTCCCGCCCTTAGAGCTCCGACAGGCTCCGGGGTGGTCTCGATCGGGTCCGTGGGACACCACCGACGTGGGTGGTGTACCCTCAGTGGTTTTCTGGCAGATTTGCCGTCGCTTTTACTCCGGTTTCTGCCCGCCAGGCAGGAGCTCGTGCTTTGCGTGTCCGCACGGCTTGGCGGTCAGGCTCTGCCCCCCGTGATGTACATTTTGAATGCCTTTAAAGTTTAATAGAGAGGGGTCGCTGTTATGATGGCCCCTTAAAGTGAAGTGAAACCTGGTGTTTCTCAAATATTCTTTTGATATTGTATGCATGCTCACCTATCCTCATCCTCAACAGTCTAGTTGTTTTGACTATGTAATTTAAGCCGCAAGGACAGATGAGCATGTAGATTGCATCCTTCGTGTTGCATGTAATGCAATCTCTGATTTTATGTGTTTTCCCATTGGCTGTGAATTCAACAATGTGCTGTTTACCTGAATGGCAGGCCCTACATCAGCCACATCCAAAAAAAATAAAATGGAAAAATTGGTTAAATTGTCGCTTTTCTGTTTCCTTATCCTCTCTAATGATTTTATCCGTGAGAACTCTTTTTAGATTTGGTAGACGTCTATGTACTATTATAGGTTTCTCTGGCAAAACCTCCCTGAGGATGGGATCATTTAGAAGTTGGTGCCAGTATTTTCCAATGATCTTCCGTACCTATTCATTTTGGTTCCCTGAATATTGACATATAAACAGGATCCCATCCATTACTGGTTTTGAGTTTCTCCTTTTATATTTCAAAAGTTCCTATCTGATCAAAGGAGCCTAAAGCGTTGTGCAGGATTTGGTATCTATAGCCTCTACTCTAGTTATTCTTTGTCCCTGGGTGACACATTGTTCCGAGCACGCTGTATTTCTTTTCAATCTGACATATTGGCTCTTAGGTACATTGTCCAGCCAAGGGCTGTAATGGCAGCTTGTCTTCTCGATGTAGCTGTTTACATCTACTGCCTTGAGATAGGTTCTGGTTTTAATATTGTCATTTTCAATATAGATAGTGAGGTCCAAAAAATCTACTTGTGTCTCACTGTACTACTCTCCAGTCATTTTGATTGACATATGAAATAAATGACTCGCGCCCCCTTCCAAATGAACAGAAGGTCATCAATATATCTCCTATAGTCCCCAGCTGCCACAGGCGTTCAAATGGCTGGTTTCCTAAAATGCCATGAACAAGTTGGCGTAGCTGGGGCGCAAACCTGGTGCCCATATCAGTACCACGCTTCTGGAGATAAAAGTTGTTAAACCAGAAGTAGTTATTGTACAGATTTAGCTCTATAGACTCTAAAACAAACTGTTTCTGTAATTCAGGATATTCCGCAGTTTGCAAGAAGAAGGCTGTAGCTTGTATTCCCAACTCATGTCGAATTATAGTGTACAAAGAGGACATATCCACTGTAACTAGCAGGTGTTCTCTTTGCCACTGGACAGTATTTAGGATTTGGAGCACATTGGTGGTGTCTCTCAAATAAGGACACTTCTGTACTGTCTCCCTTACACACACAGTAATATGTACTGTCTCCCTTACACACAGTAATATGTACTGTCTCGCTTACACACAGTAATATGTACTGTCTCGCTTACACACAGTAATATGTACTGCGACACACACACACAGTAATATGTACTGCGACACACACACACAGTAATATGTACTGCGACACACACACACAGTAATATGTACTGCGACACACACACACACAGTAATATGTACTGCGACACACACACACAGTAATATGTACAGCGACACACACACAGTAATATGTACTGCGACACACACACACTGCGACACACACACAGTAATATGTACCGCGACACACACACAGTAATATGTACCGCCACACACACACTGTAATATGTACCGCCACACGCACACTGTAATATGTACCGCCACACGCACACTGTAATATGTACCGCCACACACACACACTGTAATATGTACCGCCACACACACACACTGTAATATGTACCGCCACACGCACACTGTAATATGTACCGCCCCACACGCACACTGTAATATGTACCGCCACACACACACACTGTAATATGTACCGCCACACACACACACACACTGTAATATGTACCGCCACACACACACTGTAATATGTACCGCGACACACACACACACTGTAATATGTACCGCGACACACACACACACTGTAATATGTACCGCGACACACACACACTGTAATATGTACCGCGACACACACACACTGTAATATTACTGTGTATATATGTGTCACAGTACATACGTACTGTGACACACACTTATATGTACTGTCTGACACACACACACACACACACACACACACAGTAATATGTACTGTGTCAGCGTTTGAAGACCGACATATAGACTTCGTGATCTTCCTGGCTTCTGTGCACAAACTGAAAACCAACAGTCTAAATGACTGTCCCTGCTTCAAACACTGTCTGACCATAGGTATGTATATGGCACCAGTATCCTAACATATACCAAAAGTAGGGATAATTTTTATTCTTTTTAAATGCAAAACAAATTAAAATCCATTTCCTTTTTAAAAAGGGTTTTATATATTAAAAAAAAAAAATAGCTTTGAGGCCACAAATCTTTAAAGCAGCCATGTCAGCATATGCAAAAACATTTATCATGCGTTTCATTGATTTCAGTGTGGATCTGGCAAACTTCATTGATCTTTTTAATTCCTGCTGGTCATTTTGTCAGTCGTGCATTATCCATTAAATTGACCTATAAGACCAGTAACAGTTGTTAGCTCACTGTTTAATGATGGGACAGAATTTCCATAGATGGTAGAAAAGCCCAATGCTCTTGTCTGTATAGCTTTATTAGGGATCTTTGCTTTAAAATAACGAACCTCTTAAAATAGCAGTTGGTACAATGCTGCACAGTGTTAGACTTGTTGGACTTATCATCAGCTTCCCATACATTGGAAGACATTTCTGCTCTGACATATCATCAGTAAAGTTACAAAATATTGACTATATATGAACCTGACATAAATGCAATCTTCACATTTTAACATCCACAATATATGCACAGGTTCTACAGTATGTTCATGCTAATCTTGGTGTTCCAGCTCAGCAGGCACCCACATAGATTCAAGGTGCTGTTAAATATCCATCGATGATTTAACACACATCCCGCCAGGTATGTGATTTAGGCTGTTGGAAATCCTTGGTGGAGAAGAACTAATTGACCCCAACATAAACACAATTTTTAATCTTCACTATTGACACATTGAGGTGTAGTTGTTAAACACCTAACTCTGCTGTAGTCGCCTTCAAGATTTCTCCTACGTCTATCGTCTGTCCGTACTCCCACCTCTGATGCTCGCCTTCAAGATTTCTCGAGGGCTGCACCGTTCCTGTGGAACTCTCTTTCCTCCTCCGTTAGATGCTCACCCAGTCTCCACTCCTTCAAAAAATCGTTAAAAACACACTTCTTCATAAAAGCGTATCAATTAAACTGTTAATAGCTCCTAACTGATTCCTCTTCTGCAACTGTCATTAGTCTAATACTATCCTTACCATTTTGTGTCATTTTACCCCACTTCCTCTAGCATGTAAGCTCATTGAGCAGGGCCCTCAACCCCTCTGTTCCTGTGTGTCTAACTTGTCTGTTCGTCCACCCATTGTAAAGCGCTGCGGAATTTGACGGCGCTCTATAAATATCATAATAATAGTCAAATCTTGAATATTTTGTAATTCTAACTTTTATTTGCTAAAATGTGATGCTTCAGTGAATTAATTCCTTTGATAATGTGTTTTCAGATTTTTTCTACAGAATTTTGGTTAGAGATTATTGCCTTAACATAGCCTGATTAGACCTTGGCTTAGCAATGTTTTAAGAGCAGGCCTCGACAAATCTCATTGGCCAACAGTATGTTCATAACGTCTCTTAGCATTTTGCTAGCATTCTCTTCTCTCTACAGAATCCTGTCCTGGAACCTAAATATATCTTCATAACCTTGTATGTATCAGCGTGTATGCTAGGGTGCTTTCTATATACGTCCTGTCGTAACAAATCCACATTGCTTTAAGTGTGCATAAAGGTGTGTGTGTGTATATTTACCTAAAGTAATAGTTCCTCAAAGATCTCCAACATAACAATCGAAACAGGCAGCAACCCAACCACATGAGCTCTAATGAGCACATGAGCACTGCATTCTGCAAATATTGGGGATTCACGTGCAGCAATTTGTAAACTTTATTGCTAAAAGAGCCAAACTCTGATTAGAGCTGAGACGGAGATCTCTCTCCCACCCCACCAGCATTTTCTACACAGTTAACATTAAAAGGAGGGAAAAAAGAGGCAATAACTGTAGATTATTATTACGTAGTGTACCTATAATCTTAATTTTAATATTGACAGGAGGCTTCCTATTTTGCATGACTTTCTTTACTCATGCCTCCAGCAGCACAAGTCAATCATTAAACTTTTAACCAATCATAATAGAGTACATAACCATATATAAAGCTCTGATTGTCACATGACTTCCTCTTTCTTTGAATTGCGATCAGTCCACATAACGTCAGTAGCTAAAACTTAAGTTCGTAGTGATATAACATTTCAAACTTGTTCCATGGAAGGCCTAACTTCAATAAAATCCAACTCCAAACGGATTAACGCATGTTGAAACTGAAACTTGATCCATAAGATCCAATATCCGGTTTGTCTTCTCCGGAACCAATAGCGGCAATCACACTGGAAAAAAAAAAAAAAATAGAAACGAGTGAAAGAGACTGGAAATAGACTTATGTCTATATAATATCATTGATACTATATCTATCCGTATCCTATACAAATAGTAATAACCTATCTCTATATACTAGTATCCAACCATAATATCAACAAATCCTTGTCTATTACCTCAAACATCCCATACATATCCTCTAGATAAACTATGCAGGTTACAATTAAGCAATAGAAATGGTGACATATGAAAAACCCAGAAAATGGGAGGGAAAATACTCGCCTCCTGTCATTATTAAGATTATAGGTACACTACGTTGGCATAATCTACAATTTTATTACATGACAGGAGGCTTCCTATTTTGCATTTTTAAAGCTGAGGTAATAGCGAGAAAGATGCGTGTGTGTTCTGACGAAAATAAAATAAACGTAAGGTATCCTCCCGTGCCCAGTCTGCGGAACGTAGGATATCTGCTAAAGAAGCTCCCGCCGAGAATGCTCTTGAGGCAGCCGCGCCCCTGACCGAGTGAGCCCCAAAACACGTCTCCACTCCTGCTAGGGACAGGATACAACGAACCCATCGAGCAAGAGTAGTAGTGGTAACTGGTTTATAAGGTTTGGTGTAAGACACCAACAGTTGCCCTCTGCTAAAAGCTCGAATGCTTGCAGTAACCTCCACATATCACATAAGTGCGGAAACTACACATAAACGTGGAACCGTAGGGAAGAAAGGATAAGATATAGATGTTGAATTTGTTTTGGTTCTACGAGACACTGTGAAGGTAACCCCTTCTGGTGAGATTGAGAACCCGTCCACATCAAACGCTCGCACGTCCGAAACTCTTCGAAAGGATACCAAACTTAAAAGTAACGTGAGCTTGGCCGACAACTGTCGTAGTGACAAATCTTTGTCTGGCCAATTCCGAAGGAAGTTAAGGACCACCTCTACATCCCACATGCGTTATATAGCTAATAATTCCGGAAACCATGCCTGACTCTTCCATGCCTGAAAATGGTGGGAATGCGTACACTCCCCTCGGAGGCCACTGTTGTAGAAAAGCGTCTACTGCCTCGCATTGAGGGTCCGGAAGCCAGCTGAAATATCTTGGTAACTGTGTGTTCGTCCGAGAGGCAAACAGATCCACGACCAACGGACCCCTGAGGTCCCTCACCACTGAAAATACTGGTGTCCAGTCTCCAGTCGCTGCCGTCTCGCCAGTGACGAGAAAACCAATCCGCTGTGAGGTTGTTGGTTCCTGGTAAATATTCCACTTTGATCGTAATGTTGCGGGGAATAAGGAATTGATGTCCTTAGTCCCCTCCGTCAAGATCCTTGATCGGGCTCCCCCCAGGCGATTTATGTATTGGACAATGCATAGAAGGATGCAACAGTTCGCCATGTCCTTGGCTAGACTGCGAATCGCAAACGATCCCACAATCAGTTCCAGGCAGTTGATGTGGAGACCCTGTTCCTCTTGAGACCATGGACCTCCCATGGATGCGTGGGTGCAGTGGGCTCCCCAGCCCCAAAGGCTTGCGTCTGACTCCAATACAAAATCCGGGTTCGCCCCAAAAATGGCTCTGCTGTTCCAGGCTTCCATGTGCAGTAGCCACCACCGAAGCTCCGTCCGAGCCTCCATGGAGACAGGAATCCAGTGATCGTATGTGTGTCCGGTTCGTAGATATTGGGCTTTCAGTCTTTGCATTGCCCGGTAGTGAAGCGGGCCTGGGAAAATCGCTTGTATTGATGAGGAGAGTAGTCCTACTATCCTCACTAATAATCGGAGAGGTATGGTGTCTCTCCTGAGTATCCTTCGAATCTCCTTCTGAATG